AAGAGTTGATGCTTTTGAGTTGTGGTGCTGGTGGAGAATGCTGAAAGTACCATGGACTGCTAAAAGAACTAACAGATCTGTCCTGGAGGAAGTGCAGCCAGAATGCTCCTTGGAGGCAAGAATGACCAGACTTCATCTCACCTATTTGGTCATGTTGTAGGAAGAGACCATTCCCTGGAGAAGGATGTCATGCTTGGTAGGGTGGAGGGTCGACGAAAGACGGGAGGCCTTCAATGAGATGGATTGACACAGTGGCTGCGATGATGGGCTCAAGTATAGCAGGGATTGTGGGGCTGGCGCAGGATCAGGCAGTGTTTCGTTCTACTGTGCATGGGGTCGCTATGAGTCGGAAACAACTCGACGGCACTTAACAACAACAACAGACTGAAAAGAGAGAGCAAGAAGGTTTTCTGGGAATTAAAAGGAGCCCTGGTAGTGCAGTGGTTAAGCACTCAGCTGATAACCAAAAGATTGATGTTTTGAACCTACTACCTCCACAGAAGAAAGATGTGGCCATCTGCTTCCATAAAGATTAAAGGGTTGGAAAACCTATGGGGTAGTTCTACTGTGTCCTATAGGGTCACTGTAATTCAAAATCAACTCAGTGGCAATGGGTTGGGGGTTCTGTTTTGTTTTGAACTAGAAGAATTGAATGTCCAGACACAGATACCTTGTGGTGAATGAAAATTGCTATAACACCTACAACTCGTTATAGTTTTCCTGCATATCCAAAAAAATCAGTTGCTATTGAGTTGATTTTGACTCATGATGACCCGTGTTTGTCAAGAGTAGAACTGGGTTCGATAAGGTTTTCATGGCTGATTTTTTTTGAAAGTAGATTGCCAGGCCTTTCTTTTAAGGTGTCTCTGGGTAGACTTGAATCACCAGCCTTTCAGTTAGCACCATCCAGATAGATACTCAAGACATGGGTGATTTGAGAACTTCAAGACAGATTTGTTCATTTTTCTAGCAGTCCATGGTACATTCAATATTCTTTGCCAGTACCACAGTTCAAATGCATCAAGTCTTCTGTGGTCTTCCCTAATCATTGTCCAGCTCTCACATGCATATGTTGTTGTTCTTGTTATGTGCCACTGAGTTGTCTCCAAGTCATAGTGACCTTATGTACAGCAGAATGAAACACTCACCAGTTCTGTGCCAGCCTCACGATCCCTACTATACCTGAGCCCATCGCTGTAGCCACCCTGTCAATCCATCTTGTTGAGGGCCTTCTCCTCTTTCATTGACCCTCCACTTTACCAAGCATGACATCCTTCTCCAGGCAGTGGTCCCTTCTGACAACATAAACAAAGTAGGTGAGACAAAGTCTGGCCATTCTTGCTTCCAAGGAACATTCCTGCTGCACTTTCCTCCAGGAGAGATTTGTTCATTCTTTTAGCAGTCCATGGTACTCTCAGCATTCTTTGCCAACACCATAACTCAAAGGCATCAACTCTTCTTCGGTCTTCCTTATTCATTGTCCAGCTCTCACATGTATATGAGGCGATTGAAAATACCGTGGCTTGGGTTAGGTGCATCTTAGTCTTCAAGGAGATCTCTTTGCTCATCAGCACTTGAAAGAGGTCTTTTGCAACAGATTTGACCAATGCAGTAGGTCATCTGATGCACTTAACTGCTGCTTCCATTGGCATTGACTATAGAACCAAGTAATATGAAGTCTTTGACAACCTCAGTCTTTTCTCCATTCACCGTGATGCTGCTTATTGGTCCAGTTGTGAGGATTTTTGTTTCTTCATATTGAGGTTTAATCCATACAGCAAACTGTAGTCTTTAATCTTCATCGGTAAGTATCCAAGTCATCCTCGCCTTCAGCAAGCAAAGTTGTGTTGTCTGCATATCTCAGGTTGTTAATGAGTCTTCCTCTAATCCTGATGCCACGTTCTTCATATAGTACAGCTTCTCGGATTATTTGCTCAGCATACAGATTGAATAAGTATGGGAAAAGGATATAACCCTGACACATTCCGTTTCTGATTTTAAACCATGCACATGCATATGAGGCTGCTGAAAATACCATGGCTTGGGTCAGAGGCACCTTAGTCTTCAAAGTGACATCCCTGTGCTCTGCATGTTCTTCTCTAATTCCTGCTTAGCCTTTTTGGGGCTTTTATAGAGTTATGAAATGGCTCAAAGGTAAGTTAGAAGAAAAAGGAAGACTAAAGAGCAACATAATTCATTATTTAATAACTCATTCCTTACACAAATAAAAATTGAATATAATTTTTAAATAATATATTGAAAATGTTCTACAGCGTCTTTATTGAGCATATTCCGTGATAACCACTGAAAATACAAAGATGAGTAAGATCTTGTACTCATAGAATCCAGAGTGTATTGACGCAGTTGAATATAAGGAAAAACTGGTCAGTTTTATTTTCTTTTATACTAATATTCTTAAACAATGTATTTTATTTAGTTGTAGAAGATGATGAAGATGACTTTCCAACTACACGTTCTGATGGCGATTTCTTGCATAATACCAATGGCAATAAGGAAAAGTGTAAGTAATACATTTTTCCCCTTGGTTGGATAAAATACAACTTTCTAAAGATAAATAATATTTCATTGTATATTAAAGAATAATGACCTAATGAGTAATTTTTAAAAAGTAGTGGAACTGCTGGAATCCAAGTGAAAATTTCTCTAGGAAATATACCTTCTGAAGTTAAATATTATTGATTCGATTTTGAAAACTTTATATGAATGAAAGTAGTTTTCTATTTCAGAGATCATATTGGAATAGTCTGTTATTGATACTAGAATCTAATGCTTCTCTCTTCTCTACCTTTTCCTTTCCCTATTTCTTTTCATAATGAGTCTTTCTTTCCTTCTTCTTTCTCCCAGCAGTCTTACAAAAATATTAGTCCACTGTTAAAAAACTGTCCTTATAACTTGGGTCTGAAACATTGTTATACCTTAGTCAGTCATCCAGATTTATATATCTTTGTGGAATTAGAGAATAATTTTGGGAAAGTTCTTTCAGTTATATTTTAACTTCACAATGAATAATCTGCTTTAAGAAGACATATGTTTGGATATTGGGGGAAAATTATTGAAAGTTGTTGTAAAACTCCTAGGCACCAGCTATGCCACCTACATTCTCTAAAAGAGAAAGGAAGTTTATTTTCTGAAGAAATTGAACTAGAGAGTTATAGATTCAAGAATACCAAGCAAGCAAAGCATGGGAACATGGACCTATCAATAAAAATGATTATATAGAAATTTACATACAGATTATTTAAATCTTACTGTTCTACTTAATGTCTAAGAACATTCGTAGCCAGAACCTAAAAGGAAGTTTGCGTATGGAAGGATACGATTCCCGGCCCCTTTCTCTTACTCTGTTTGCAGATTACCCATCAATGACAGATAGATTTTCTGACAAAAAATTAAAAAGCAACTCTGGAGAAAAAGAATGGCTACAGAAAAAGACCTACAGATGTTTTTAGGAGTCCTCCATGAAAAAGCTGTCTCACTACTAGATCACTCTTTGTGAAGCCCTCCAGTAGATGAGCCCTGCTAGGGCATAGAGAGATTCCAGTACTACACACTTAAATATGAACAGCTAGCCAGGTATCTGTAGATGTTTGAGGAAAGCAACCAAAATAATCAAACTAGAAAAAGGAACTCAGAAAAGTCAGGAAGCAAAAGAAAACTATAATTAATGTCTTTTGTATTTATTTGTATGTTTCTTTAAATATTTATATATTTATAATATATATTATATTTTATCCCTGACACAAAAGAACTTTTAGAAATTAAAAATTATAAAAGCAAGAATTAAAAATATTTTATTGGAAGGGTTTATTTATAAGAAGTTGAGGAAAGTTTCAGAAAACACTCAAGAATAATGAAAGAGAAGAAAGAAAGAAAATAAATTTGAGTGCCAACACAGGAGATCTGATACCCGACTAGTATCAGTTCCAGATAGAGGGAATAGAGAAATAGCGGGAAAGAATTACAAAATAATTAATAAAAGAAAATGCACAAAACTGAAAGTCTCAAGTCTCTAAATCGAAGAGAACACTGAACAACCAGCATAACAAATAGGGATGGAGGGAACAAAACAGAATCTTCGTCAAACCATGCATCATCACCCTGGGGAGAGAAGATTTTGAAGAGGAGGTGGGGTGGTAAGTGAAGTTATACCAAAAATTAAGAGTAAGAATGGCCTTCACAAGGGGTTGGAAATTATATAATAGTGGAACAGAACTCCTCTTGATTCTGTATGAAAATTATTTTCAACCTTAGGTTCTATACCCAGTCCAGTTTTCCTATCAAATGTAAGGATGAAAATAAACATATTTTTAAATATCCTGTAATCTTAAAAAGTTTTTTCTGTGCATCTTTATCAGGAAACTGTTGCTATCCTGCCTTTTCAGAAGGGTTTCTCCACCAGTCCCATTTTCTGTCCCCTATGCATACACGCACACTCACAGCAAATACACAGGCTTTTGAAATGCATCTCGTGAGGAAATGAAAAACTTCATCACAGAAGCATTGAGAATCCCCCTTAGGTTGTCTATATGTACCATTCAAAATAGAATGTGAGAGTCTAATAAAAATAAGGGCATTCCAAATCATTTAGTTTCTTCCAGCATTTGTTTTTCATCTTTGATATAACTCACATTTGCTTACTGGTCAGTTCTTGGTAGTACTTTTGAAAAAAGTACTTTTTTAAAAAAGTTGTTTTTCAAGTATTTAAGGAGAGAGTTCAACTGAAATATATATAAATCTGAATGATAATCTTTAGAGTATAAGTACTTACAAATCTAGCATTATAGATTATTTTGTCAGTTCTTCCATTTCTGCCCTTCATATACATGGTTACATATTTTCAACTTCCTTTTACTGTACTATACCATTTTCCTAAAGGAAATTAAGACATGTCATCTTGTCTCTAAGAATTTTTCTTCCCTTATCTTAGGCTATACTTCCTTTAGGAAATATGCTCATCGAAAATTATTAAGTACTTGGAGAGTATGTTGGTGTTTTTCTATAAAGATTAATCTGGTACCACCATATAAGGGATTAGAGGCCTGAAGCAAAATATCAACATAACCAAGAAAAAAAAAAATCAACCAATACTGAAAATAGTCTGGTGGTTGCCAAATTAAGATGAGGGTTTGTCTTTATGACTTTCATTTCTTGACAAGCGTAACGTGAGAGAAATTTATTTCAGAGGGACTTACTGTGCAAAAATTTTATTTTCAAGTGTTTGAAAGTTTAAAAATCTATTTTATATTATTCCACAGAGGGTTTCAGATGGCTACTTCCAGGTGAAAAGATATGTTTGTATATTTCTAGAATTTTTCCCAAAGGCATTTTTATGTTGCTCTTTCATCCTGTACTTACTCCTTAGTCTATAAATTAGTAAATATTCACCAGTGAGCACCCATTATTGCATACTTTCTCTTGTATAAGATATAGATGACTTTGAATTTCTAAGTTGATTATTAATAAAATTAGTAGTTTGTAAGGAAACTCAGTTATTGGTAAGAATAAGGGAAAAAGTAGAAGTTAAAATTATAGAAAAAGTTTTTTTTGTTATTGTAGTTATGTGCCGTTGAGTCGGACCTGACTCATAGCGACCCCTCCTTAGATTTCCAAGGCAGTATCATTACAGAAGTAGATTGCCCAACCTTCCTTCCGAGGAGTGGCTGGTGGGTTTGAACCGCAAGCCTTCTGGTTAGTAGTCAAGAACCTTAGACACTATGCTACCAGAGCTCCTAAAAAAGTTTTTAGTCTTATAAAAATATATGCATTTTTAAAACAACTTTGTTGTTGTTAGTATGTGCTGTTGAGCTGGATCCGACTCATAGTGACCTTTCCTTGGGTTTCCAAGGCAATAACACTATGGAAGTCAATTGCCCAAATTTCCTTCCTGGGAGTATCTGGTGGGCTTGAACTGCCAGCCTTCTGGTTAGCAGTCAAATGCTTTAGCACTATGCTATATTAAGGTATAATTGACACCAATAAATTGCACATATTTAAAATGTACAATTTGATAAGTTTTTATATATGTATATACAGTTGAAATTATGACCACAGTCAAAACACTGAAAATGCCATCACCCTCAAAAGTTTCATGGAGCACTTTCGTAATCACTCCCTCCTGCCCCTCACCCCATTTCCAAACAACCATTGATCTATTTTCTGTTATTATAGATTCATTTGTATTTTTTAGAGTTTCATGTAAATGGAATCTTACTGTCTGTGTTCTTTTTTGCCTGGCTTTCTTTTTTAGTTTGAGATTCATGTGTGGCACCTATCAATAGTGAATCCTTTTCATTGCTGAGTAGTGTCCTTTTTAAATATACTGCAGTTCGTTTCTTCATTCATCTGTTGGTGAACATACTTGGGTTCTTCCCAAATTTTGGCTGTTACAAATAAAGCCACCATGAACATTTGTGTATAAGTCTTCACACAGACATTTTGCATTGAGTTTTTAAAGTTGAAAGTATTATTATTTTATTTATTATGGTTGTATACGAAGGATTACATAACAGCTATAATATATTCTCTTGTTTATATTTAATTCAAGGCTAAAATTATAAATGTAAATGTAAGAGCCACATAATATGAGTATTAGTCTTGGCTTAAAATTTAGAAATCATTTAAAAATTTAGTATTACTGTATTCGGTTATCCAGTTTGTCATACTGTGGTGGCTTGCATGTTGCTGTTGGGCTGGAGGCTATGCTTACCAGTATTTCAGATACTGAAATATCTGGACAGATTTCAGCGGAGCTTCCAGATTAAGCCAGACTGAAAACAAAGAAAGGAGCCATCCACTTCTCAAAGAATTGGCCAGAGAATACCTTATGAATAGCAGTGAAACACTGTCTGGTGTATTACTGGAAAACTTTAAGAATTTGCCTGCAGGAATAGCAAGGATTGTGAGAATGGCGCACGACCAGTCCGTGTTTCATTCTGTTGTACATAGGGTCACTATTCTGGTCACCTACTGCCACTCTGACAGGAATATACCACAAATGGGATGGCCTTAACAAACAGGTGTTGGTTCTCTTACTATTTGGAGGCTTTAAGTCCAGGTTCAAAGTGCCAGGCTCTAGGGGCTGTGTGAAAGCCCCTCGACCTTGGGCTTCAGTTCTGCCTTTTGCTCCCAGCACACTGAAGCTAGAAGCATCTCTTCACTCAGGCAGCTACTGGCTGCTGAGGCTAATAAGCCCAAGGTTGACAAACAAAAAGTCACAGTCCCTATGTTACCAAACCACACGTCTGCTCATTAATTCAAGTCCATTGAAAATCCCAAGGGCAGTAGAGCATAGCAGGCTACTGAACAACAACATGGCTACATGCAGGGTCCAAGCATGCCATAAGTTAGAGACCATTCCCAAAGCTGTTTCTTATATGTGGGAAGCAGACCACATCCCTAAAGCAGCTACTCAGCTGCTTGTGGAAGATCCCACCATGGAGCGGATTGCCAACTTCATCATGGGAAATAACTACTACCAGCTGCCAGGCCACTCAACCAGGCCCAACCAAGTTGACACACAACTTTAACTACCACAGTCACTATGAGTAGGAGCTGACTCGATGGCAGGTAACAACAGTTTATCTTCAGATATTTTTAAAACTGTAAGTTTCGCAGAAGTTAAACTAGTTATTGACATAATTAGGTCCCACTTTATGCTGTCAGAATGTTATCGTTTGAGTATTACTCCTCCTACCAGTTGATTTACTGAGTGTAACATAGCACATCAACTTCAGGAAATAGAATCTAGACTAAAAGATTTAAGGATGTATGCTGCCATGGCCTGTTTGCTCGCAGAGCATTGATAGGAGATTTTAAAATGTTGGTCCACAGGAAGAAAATTGTGGTCCAGAACATTTTCTGATCTTGAATTTTGATGAGGGATTATTTCTTCATTAGAAACATGTCCAGTGAATACCTTTCTTTTTCAGTATTTCCTCATGTAACACCAAAAGGGATTAATGGTATAGACTTTAAAGGGGAAGCGATAACTTTTAAAGCAACTACTGCTGGAATCCTTGCTACACTTTCTCACTGTATTGAACTAATGGTAAAACGTGAGGACAGCTGGCAAAAGAGACTGGATAAGGTAAGACTAGTGTTTTTTTGTTTGTTTGTTTTTTATTTTTTATAAAAATACACTCAGATTTTACTTAAATTTTATATATTGATTGAAACATTTAAAGTAGATTAACTGCTTAGGGAAATATGTATCTGATTGAAGGAAATAGGAGGTGGTATTACTCCTGAAACTTTATGGAACTCATAGGCTCATTTTCCTGATGAGATTGACCATTTATTTATTCAGTTACTATAAAATATGTTTTCATGATAGGAATTTAATATTATGAAAACTTTTATAATGATATGAGTAATACCTTGGAATAGAAGTGACGTACCGTTTAACATTACCCAGCTTTAGTGCGTGATCTATGAAATTGTGTTTAAGTTGTATGAACTAACTTAAACACCAGTTTATTAAGTTAAACATTTACTACATTCATAAAACCAAAAAAGAAAAAAACAAACCTACTGCCATCAAGTCAATTCCAAATCACAGTGACACCCATAGGGTTTCCAAGGCTATAAATCTTTACAGAAGCAGACTGCCTCATCTTTCCCCCACAGAGCAGCTGTTGGGTTCAAACCACAGAACTTTTTTGGTTAGCAGCTGAATGCCTTAACCACAGCACCACCTGAATTCCTTCTGTGTGATGGTACAGTGCTTAAAGCATTCAGCTACTAACCAAAAGCTAGGCAATTTGAAACCAGCTGCCACTCCACAGGAGAAAGATGGGGGCAGTCTACTTCCATAAAGATTTGCAGCCTTGGAAAACATACAGGATGGTTGTATACTCTGGCCTATAGGGCAGCTATGAATCAGAATTAGCTTGATGGCAGTGGAGAATATTACATTCATAGGGATGTATTTTTTCAGAGGTCATATGATACACTTTAACATACATTATGTTCTGTTGCACGTATCTGGCTTCTGTTAACATTTTTCTACCTTTGTTTAAACTGCAGCACTGGTAAAAATACTATACTATGAATCTTTAGTATCTGGTATGAAGTATGGCTCATTACTTTTGTTCAGGAGGAAAACCTCTGTTTGTAATTCAACTTAAGTAAAATTGTCAGAACTGAAACATACCCTAGAGATCTAATTCTACTTCACCTTTGTCATTTTATAGAAAAGGGAACTGAGGCTTAGAAACTGGTCCACAGGTACCCAAGTAGCAGAACTAGAGAAATTTCACTCTATTCTGATATTTCAGCTCCGATACTAGGCCAGACATCAGTCAGAATTTTATTATTCATTAGTAAGTCATACTGCATGGAGTGTTTGAAGGTCTTACTGATTTGAGCAAGACACTAAGGAAAGCAATGTAATCACTCATGTAATGACAGAATGGCCACAGGATTTGAATAACACTATGACGGCACATAACAACAACATGTGTATAAAGGCCCTACTTTTTAGAAGAAAACGACTGTTTAGACCTATCAAGGGCAGGAATGAATCATTTTGGCTAGCTATATATATTCTCTAAAAACAGACAATGAAACTTCCATTTAAGGTGTAGGCATTTCAGTTTTCATTCTGGAACTGGGTAATATATCTTCAAAGATTTCAGCCCTGGGCATCCTCTGAAATCCATTGGACTAAGGTTCAAAAGTATCATTCAGCTTGTCCAGACTAGCTTATTTAAAACTTTTTGGCAGCTTTCTCTTAAAGTCTCCTGTCTTTAATCTGTTTGTCTTTCACTCCAACCACAGTGCCTCAAAAAATACTCATTTGAAAAAATAAAAATAAAAAAACTTTTTACATTATGTAACATGACTTTTCATCTTTTCTTTACTGCAATCTAGTCTCTTATTTGTTCTGTGGAAAGGGAGGTGAACCTTTGATTGTGTTCAGTATTTTCAGTCTTACTTATTTTCTTTTTTTATTGAGTAGCAGTAAGTAGAGGAAACAAAGGACCTGTGAAAAAGCTGCTTATTGCTGCCTCTCTTAACCAAAGAACAAAAGATGGTGGTATTAATTGAAAAGTGAAACTGTATTTTATAGTGTTCTTACAGGTCTATTTTATGTCCAATCTTACTCACTTTTCCACTATAGTTTTTTCTCAAGGTTAAAGTGATAGCAGGATCTCAAAGTTTATAGGAAATGGTTATAAAGAAAACCAGAAAGTTCTCAGAATTGCTTATCAACAAATAGTATTTTAGATAATTCATAGAATTGGGAAAGAAAGTACGATCAGTGGTAACTTACTATGGCTTCATTGAAATTGTTCTGCTTCATTCAACAAGTGTATGTGTGCCCTGTGCTAGGAGCCATGCAGTGCAGTGGTTAAAGCACTCAGCTGCTAACCAGATGGTTGGCGGTTCAAGCTCACTGGCTGCTCTGGAGGAGAAAGACAAGACAGTTTACTTCTGTAAAGATTTACAGCCTTGGAAACCCTATGGGGGCAATTCTATACTCTGGCCTACAAGATCACCATGAGTCGGAATCGACTCAGTGGCAGTGAATTTGGTTTTGGTGATTGGTCAGTCATGTCCACTAAGTCCAAAAATTCTAAGATTAAAACATTTAGTTATTTACAGTATTAATAAGAGAGTATCTGTTCATTGAAGAGAACCTTGTTTAATAGATTTACAGATATGTAATTTTCCCATGCTTTCTTATTTTCTACCCTGTTCACTTGGTTTTGTTTTATTGATATATTCTGTCCATACAGTGAAGTGTACCAATCTTAAGTATGTTGCTTGTTTTTTTATTTTTCATTTGTACATATGTATGTGTACATATATCCCTATGGAAGCTCTAGTAGCATAGTGCCTAAGGCACTTCACTGCTAACCAGAAGGCTGGCAGTTCAAACTGACCAGCCACTCCTCAGAAGGAAGGTTGGGCAATCTACTTCTGTCTTGATACCACCTCGGAAACCCAGGGAGGGGTCGCTATGAGTTGGGTCTGACTTGACAGCACATAACAACAACATAAATATATCCCTATAGGAGCCTAGTCGCACAGTAGTTAAGTGCTTGGCTGCTAACTAGAAGATCAGTAATTTGAACCCACCAGCCACTCCATGGGAAGAAGATGTAGCATCTGCTTCCATAAAGATTTTTGTGTTGGTGTTAATTTTTATTGTGATTTGGGTGAAAGTTTACAGAGCAAATTCATTTTCCAAACAGCAGTTCATACACATTTTGTTTCATGGCATTGACTGCAATTCCCCACAACATGATAGCTCTCTTTCCACTTTCTTCCCATAATTACCTCTTCCCGTACCACACCCCCCCCAAAGGTGAACACATTTCTAACTTACATTGCCATAAACATGATAAAAATAAATCATGCAGTATATATACTCTTGTGTTTGACTTTGTTTTTCCTCATAGAGACCGGGTGTACAACAGAACAAAACACTCCCCACTCCTACAACATCCTCACAATCATAGTTGTATTTGAGCCTATTGTTGCAGCCAATGTGTCAATCCATTTGACTGAGTGTCTTCCTCTTAGTGGTAATTTAAATGGTAGCTTATGGTATATGTCGTATATACCCTAGTGAAACATGTTTTCTTGGTTTTCATACCAGTGGAATTATTATGTAGTATATAGTATATAGTTTCAGTGAAATGCAGAAGAAATCCACTTAAAAGACTTCATTGTAGTTAAAATGCCCGCTTCAAATGATAAGTTTTTCACTTAATTTTGTTTTGTTTTGTTAAATAGGAAATTGAGAAGAGAAGAAGAATAGAGGAAGCATACAAAAATGCCATGACAGAATTGAAGAAAAAGTCCCACTTTGGAGGACCAGACTATGAGGTATAAACCTTTACTTTATTGATCTTTTCAAAAAACCTACTTCTGGTCTTGTTGATTTTTTCTGTAGCCCTTCTATTTTCTGTTTCATTGATTTCTGCT